ATTACAAAATCCAAATAACTCCAGCTGTTGAAACCGTCTACGTACTTGAAATGGGAAGCGATAGGTTTGATATGCAAACAAGTCGGCGAGACATAGCCCTGGCCAATTGACTGTAGCGTGCGTCGGTATACTACAAAAGCACAGGGTCTGATATACTGACATTTCGCTGTACTAATGCACACACTGATAGTCACGGACTAATCTATTATCTTGCATTTGGTGGGAAGGTTATTCCTACAGTGGCATTATGAATACGTAGTATTAACCTTTGTTATTTCCGAACAGCAATCAATCAATTAGAGAGTCATATAGAACATAGAATGCGAAAATTATACTGCACGTACCTTATATAATACAAAAACTGTAGTTCATTACCATTTCAGCGTGAGATCCAAATAGTGTTCAGTTTGGTATGGGTTCTCGTCACCCATGTTGTGATTGGGGGCCTTGTTTGCAACCCTTTTTTAAAACACAAATTTAGTATTAAGACAGAAGTAAAACTGCATTCGTGAATTAGATTTTCTTCCTCAACAAAGAATTGTAAAAGTTAATTACTGTTTACAGAAATAAAAGTTCTCAATGAGTTGAAGTCAAACCAACATAAATATTTCGGGTTTTTTCTCTTTCCACCTGTTACTCGACTTGTCCCCCGTTTCGATAAGACACCAGCCCGTCTCGTGATTATTCGCAACACGAGTTTCTTGCCAAATGGACTCTCAACCATTCAACCCTCAGAATCAATCATATCCATTTTGCCGATAAAGTGACCATCTAGGGAAACAGAGAGAGAGCGGTGTGTTTGAAAATAAAAAAAAAGACTTCCGCCAGAGAACCAGACTGATGTACTTGCTGCAGAGACTGTGAGAGTCCTTGAATCATGCTGCACTGCGCCTTAATTGCAACCTTCGAGGCACTCCATCATAATACACCTCACTCCAAGGGTTACCGAATTCAATGGACTGATGTCAGATTGGTTGCTGTTCCATTAACTAACTGCACTTCGAAAAACGCTCCTTGAAGTTTGAATGTTTTATTTTTAAGTGGGTGTGATTTTGCTTGAGTATATTGGCATCACTTGGCGTTTGCTCATTTTGAACACGAGGCCATGTTAGGGATTCCATCGCAAGGTCATCCCATGTCAGGTCACAAGTGAATTCACAAGTCCGGTCCTAAGTAGCAGGAGATGAACAGGAATGTCTTCGTCGCAGTTCATTTGAATCCTTGATTTTTAACTTGACATGTGATGACTGTACGACACCGTGTATAATGAGGTGCATTTCCATATAGGGAGTTTAAGTTCAGGGCTAAGATAAAAAGCCCCGTAGTCCAATTTAACTAAAAACCCATTATTCCTGTTTGATGCCCCCCTGACATTAGGCCGAGAACCGCACATGACACATGGAAGAAAGTGCGTATATTCCTTATAAATAATCGTTTCATGCAGGATGTTTCGGTTTGCGAGTAAAACATTAGTTATTGTCCCTTCTCATCTACATTACGTGTTTTTTGCGATTTGGATTATTATTCAATTATCTTGGTTGTAAGCACTGGTGAACCCATGGTGCCAACGGTGGCGATGACCCCCCCCCCCCCCCCCCCCGTCCCCAACTGAAATGACAACGTTGCGTATCCCAAGCCATTAGCTACACATCCGTTTTAGTTTTATATGTGATATTGCATCTGAATATGGCACACGATAATATGAAATTTATATACTTAATACCCTCCTTTTTTGAAGAAAAAAAAATACTCGAGCCCTCTTGGCCACCCGAAATTTGATTCAGGATCCACCCTTAGTCATAAGGCGCACAGCATTTCAAAGTTCTTCATACACCTCTTGTAAACATGCTCTCTAAAAATATCTTCCGCAGAAAAATAATAAGCACATCAGTTTGGACGGGAACGCGTGCATTGTAAGCGTGTTATCATGTTCTCCAGGGGCGGATCCAGGAATTTTTGCAGGAGGTCATCAGCAAAAAAATCTATGTAGACAGGTTTTGTCTCTGGACACTTGGTCTCCGAAAACTTCAATCAGGGCGCTGTTCAAATCCGACGAATATTAACTATATTACAGAATACTGTACAAATATCCCCAACCAATCTGGCTCTAACCGTATTTTTGTGCACAGGAAAACATTATAACCAGGATATATTTTTTTTGGGGGGGGGGTTCGCATTTTTTTAATGAATTTCTATAAAAAAAAGTTTTGACCCCCAACCCTGCCCCCCCCCCCCCCCGATCCGCGCCTGTTCTCCCATGGAGGAATAAATCCATGGTTCTCCCGATTGAAAGGAACTTGTTTTGATATGCGTGATTTTGCATGATTCTTGTGAGGATGCAACGGGCGTCGTAAATGCTATGTCGTGTGGAAGAACAAAAGCTTGTGCCTTACACGCGCAGGGCTGTTCTCGCTATATATCAGGACTCTTGAATACAGATCGATCAACATTGTCCTTGGCGTGTGCATGTGCAATCAAGCTGACCATATGATATCGACCTAATAACTGAGCAGTGTCTCCTTTGCCATTTCCAAAACCTAGCCCCGTCTCCGACCTCGGTTTTAGGCAAAAGTTCCACGATTTCACGCCCGAGACCATCCGAGACGTAGGGGAGTCGGGTTGGCGTAGCGGTGCTTTCCTCGCCTTCCACCGCTGTGGCCCTGGTTCGAATCCTGCCTGGGCCAATGTGGTTTGGGTTTTCTGTCCCTCTTTGATTCAGATGGTTTTCCCCAGAATGTTCTTCTAAGTTTTTCCTCCCAACTCTAAAAACTGAAAAAAAAAACCATTCATTGTCTCGTCTCTACATATTTCTTCAGGCTTGCGAGCTACAGTGCCTAGGGCACTTTTGAGGAATCTTGGTTTCATTACCACAAATAAATAATAAAAAACAATGACGACTATTGCTCATCACGAGTCTTTATAATGTAACATTAAAATAATCTTCAAGCGCAGGCCTTTTTTTGTAAGCGTTTGATTTACTTCAAGCGTAAATTGGTTCTTGTGTCAGAAGCGTAATCCAAAGCCGAAGAGAATCCACGATTTGGAAATTGGACCAGATTTATCGCGATTTGCATGGAAGACCCAACAGAGGGCGCTCACTGCAAATCGTTACTTTGTGGTGGGTGTGTTGTAATATCAGATTGGCAATGTCGTGTGAAATAATTATGATAATACTTCAATGGGGTAGCCAATTGATGGCGCACTTCGATGCCTCTCGGCTGCTCCATGGCCATCTCGGCCTGCCGGTGCCCAAGTCCGACTTCATGCACATAAACCCTTCATGCCCATATCGGCCACCACCGTCCAATATCCACAGTTTTGCATTTTCCTTGTATCGGTGTTGATGTCAAATTTTGGAGGAATTCATGCGATTGCAGTTTGTGTCTTCCACCCTTCTATGAGAATCCGACCATAGACGTAGGCATATAAGCTAAACTATGGTCCCTAACCAAGAGCGTCGTCAGGATTTGTCTCTTTATTTTATTTTAAAAAAAACCTAAAATCGTCATCGGGCATTACTGTCTGGCCTAAGCGTTTTTTTTCGGGGGCACAGATTAAAAACTTAAAATATTACTTTCGTCCCGTGCGCACGGGGGCGAAGGAAATCAGCAGGGCTCCGTTCCGCACCACACAAAAAATAACCGTGTGCTTCGGGGTACCAATCCACCCAAATTTCGGGCCGAATCGCGGTGCTGAATCGCGCCTGGCTTCGTTGTGGCCGAATCACGGGCTGATTCAGCCACTAGGAACCAGAGCCACAATGTAATCTTGTGGAGATCAATATTATACAATGTACCTTATATCATTATATGCCTAGCTTATGATGTTATAAAACAACAAGTAATATCGCAGACGTTTTTGTTAATTACATTTCGTGGTCGTCAAGAACAGAGCAGGCATTCAATTCCCAATTGAAGAAAAAAGGGACAAGAATCCTTTGGCAGTTTTATTCTTAAATTGTTGTAAAAAGAAACTTTGTTGTTAAACATTCATGCAATTTCATTGCGCAGTCTCGTAAACGGGAAACAAAGCCAACGGAAGACAATGACGCTGATCAATTAGGAGTGTCTTTTTTAATTACATCTACACAGGCTTTCGTTTTTTCTGTACATGAAATTTGACGAGGTGTTACGAAATGGCGGGGACATACATTGAAGGTGCGTAATGTCAACAATTTCCGCCGTTGGCCAACTCGACCGAGCAACTGTGATTGCTTTTACCATAATGGTATCATGAAACTGAATCCAAGTGTACGCATTGCCTGTTGGCATTTTCTCGATGAATGTCGACCGAATTGACCAAGAAATGTCTTCACGGTAATCAATCAATTACGAGCAGGGTACAAAAAGATGTCACTTAATAAAGATCTTCCTTGCTCTTCGTTCATTGAAATAGCACATGCGTAGTACCAAAAATAGCCACCATTACTAGCTGATTGGTCTCTCGGTCAAATTGCAATTTAACACCAATTTCATCGGTACTTTGCGATTACGTTCCGCCCTGAGTCTACCGTCCTGATCCCTAGCAATTACAGGGTACACTCTCTCAGGAACGACCCGTGTCTATAAAGGGAGTGCAACAGCAAATCCAGGTTGAAGTTTCCAGACGGCACTGCGACAGCTGCCTTTCATCATTAAACACGAGTTACTTACAGACGGTTTCACTCTGCAATATCTGGTAATCCTGGCGAATATTAAGTGAACCAGCGTCATTCGGCTATATTAAAGTCGTGCAGGTGGCAGGACCTGTGGAACGTGGGGAACACTGAATTCGAGGCAGGTGTTTTAGTGTAAAACAGAATCTTCTTTTGTCCCAGAAAAATTATACTGGAAGACGGTCAAGACTTCTTTTCCGAAGAGGATTGAAGTTTTCACCTCGTTAGAGGTTTGGTACGTTTTTAGATAAAACTTATCGTTCGACGAGTTGAAGTCTGGTTTGTGAAATGCAATTGATCTCATAACTCAACTGATTTTGGACTGAAAGGATACTCGACTCAAAGTATGTCTTCAACCTCGGCACAAGAGATTATGTATAAGAATGATACATCCGACTATGCTGAAGATATAGTTGTTTACGGATATTACTTTGAGAGACAAGTTATATGCGCAGTGCTCATCAGTGGTGGCATCTTCGGAACGATCGGCAACTGCTTCGTCGTCATGGCGGTGAGTTTGTCCAAAAAACTCCAGACAGCCACCAACGTCTTTGTGGTCAATCTGGCCGTTGCCGATGTTATGACATGTCTCATTACACCATGGCAGGCCGTAGCGATCCTGGGAGGGGATGAGTGGCCGATACCGAGGGCGCAATGGGTTTGCACCGTTATTGCCTTCGTAGTTGTTGTCACAATCGGTTGCAGCGTGAACAACCTGGCTCTGATCGCCGTCAACCGTTGGGTGGGCATCACTAAGTCTCGCTTCACCACCCGTCGCATCTACACCGCCCGTAAGCTCGCTTTGATGGTCATCTTCTCCTGGGCTATACCGATCTGCTGCGCCCTGACACCGGTCCTGACGGACCTTGGCGAGCTCGGCTACGAAACGCTTTACAAATCCTGCACCTGGGTTAGATCGAACCCGTACTCATTCTACTACAACATGTTGATCACGGCGATCTACTACCCTATTCAGTTGATTGTAATCATGATCAGCTATTCTTCAATCTTTTGCTATGTCCGAAGGACCTCGCGTAAGATGACACGCGCTGACGCCCCGTCCCTCTCGGGCAAAATCAGCGGTGGAGGAGGCAACCGCGCCATGAGGAGACAGCTGTGGAAGAGACAACTAGACGTCACCAAGAACCTGCTCTACATCGTCTTGGCGTTTCTCATCTGCCTCACGCCTTACTTTGTGTCCATTCTGTCCTCTGCGGCTTGGAGCTACCGTCTTGTTCCTTGGGGAGCCGTCATCTTGTTCTGCAATAGCTGCGCAAACCCTATCATTTACGCAACCTCTCACCCAGGTTTCAAGGAGGCTTTTGGACACATGATCAGGTGTCGGAAGATTCCTGTTGCCAATCCCAGTCAGCGAATAAGGTCAAGTAAGACAGGTGACACACGGGCATAGCGCATAACCCATATGCACAGGTACCGGTATGCAGTGGAAGGCAGGAATATTTGGCAGTCGTGTTTTCTGTCTGTAAATATTAACTGCATTGCAAAAACTGTTTGAGCAATTAACCTCTTGTTTGCTATCAGTTTGTATACATGGTGACAGGGTTCGAAATAAGCGATAGCCCGCTAGTCAAAACAGCGGAGGGTTAGTCAAACTATTCCTTAAGTAGCCCGGCTGGCGAGTCGAAAAAAATTATTGGGATACGGCAAAGATGGAAAAAACAGGAAGAAATAAATCATGAAATTCAGAAAGCAAACCTGTATCGATTTTTGTATAATTTTATCAGCTGTTTTACAGGGTTAAATTATCAGATCTGTTTATTAAAAACACTGACAAAATTGCCTCGGAATTGATGAGAAATTAGTTGGAAATGGGTAAAAATGCATTTTACTTAAGACATATTTGTTTGATAACGTCTGTGTTCATAATCGCGTACTTGTACTTGTGTGAGTTAGAAAATGATAACGACCCAAATATTTAACTACCTACGTCTGATGAGTTTTAGATTTATTCAGGCTCGTTTGGATCACGTTTAGATACAGTTCTTATCAACGGTCATTTTAGATTTGTATGTAAGTGATCGAGTTCCACGAGTCAACACGGAAGTTTCGGAAGTGAGAGGTCAATTTTTGGCACGATATTTCTCTTTCACGTTATGGCATTTTTCAGTTTCAATCAATTCACATGATCAGCTGTAGGAAGATGACACAAGGGCGTAACCCATAGGAACAGGTACGCGGTAAAAGGCAGGACTGTTAGTTGTTTTTTGTCTCTGCATCCTAAGTTTACTGAAAAAACTGTGTTAAGCAATTGAAAAACACTTTTCTTAACACTGTCTTGCTATCAGTTACATCTTTAGAGTACTGATGAGTGGTGTTGAGCGTAACATTTAGTTTCTGTAACAGCATGTATACTATTATTGGATTGCATCACGTTGATAAGAAATATTTAGATACCTTTTTGGAATCAAAAATATTGCAGCGACGTAGCTTTCGATGTCATCGCGACATCTTCATTCAGCGTAGTGACTTAAACCACTCCGGTCACATGACCACCTTTTGGGCGATCACAAACCAGCAGGTCATCGTAGATGGCGGGCAGGTCGTATCCGGTGTCTCTGTTAAGGAATGGCTTTTGTGTCCTGACATTTTCCAAGCTGATGGAGTGTTGGTGATCTTTGATGTGTTCACCGACCGCTGTTAAAGGGGCTAACTTCAGGTTGGAATGTTCACCAACACCCCATCAGCTTGAAAAATGTCTAAGTCATTACCAGGAGGACCAGTTCTGGAAAATGAAAATACGCGAAGCAATCGAAATCAGGACACAAAAACCATCCCGTAACAGAGACACCGGATACGACCCGCCCGCCGTCTACGATGACCTGCTGGTTTGTGAACGACCAAAAGGTGGTCACATGACCAAAGTGGTTTAAGTCACTACGCTGAACGAAGATGTCGCGATGACATCGAAAGCTACGTCGCTGCAATATTTTCGATTACAAAGAGGTATATTTCTTTTCTGTGTACGTGTTCTACAGAACTCCGAGGACAGACGCACAAAAGGAGAACAACAGCTCCTTTAAGTCCTCGGGCCGAGCGTAGGGTCTGTTGTTCAAAGCGGTCCTCTGTAGTAGGTTTGTGTGCTTAGTCCATGGGAGATTGTTATATTACAGGGACAAAGGGAAACACAAAGCATTGTCCTCGGGAGTATAGTACAACAACGTATGTATTTAATGATAGGGTAAAACAAAAACAAAATACATTGGAAAGCGTGATCCAGAGTTTTCCAGACCGGCGGAACTTTTTTGTTTTGACGTGCACGCCGTACCACGGAGGCTTGGCCAACTTTGCATACAGTAGCAAATTAAACAAGGTGTTTGAGATTATATAAATAAAGTGTATTTGATGAAACATTGTCATTAATGTATCAATTAAATTTTCTCTATATAGTTTAATTGTTGCGCTTTTTAGCATAGCGTTCGTTTTTTTAGTGGCTTATTAGATGTTGTAATTCAGGTGGTTTTTTTTGGTACGTGCGTTTTAGAAAATGATCGTTTCGTGTGACTATAATATATTGTGTATATGTGTGAATTGTACCGCATGCCTTTGGAGGGCTGTTGATTAAATAGGACATGCATTGCCCATGGGCTGAATGTTAATTGTATCAAGCATTATAATTAGAATAGACGTGGCACGTCGATAGTACAACGCACTTCAATGTTTGATCTCATTCCTGTGGAACTCAATACATGTATGTATCAACACCAATGACCTGTATCTTCAGGGTGTTCGAACCAGTTGAGCTCAAGGGCGGATCCAGGGGGGGGGGGGGGCAAAGGGGGCCATGGCGCCCCCCCCCCCCCAAAAAAAAACATGACACCGCAATAAAGGCAGGCAATGAGTACACCACCATCTTTTCCTCAAAAAAACATTGGTTAAAGTGGTCAGAAATTGCCTCAGATCGCACCACAGAGCATCTAGAATCCAAAAAAAAAATTCGGGGCCCTGAAGCGGGCCCCGAACCCCACGCCGTAATTGTTTCCCCCAAAAAATTGTGTTCTGGATCCGCCCTTGGTTGAGCTAGCCTTACTTATGCTGGGATGTTTGGGTTCATAAACCCTGCGTCAAAGCATACGAATAATAATCGTTAACATTATAGCGGTGTTTATATAGTTTCTCATTAGGGCGAGTATTGATCGATATAGTCAAGAGAGACGCAATTATTACACAGTGACAACAGGTGCCTCAAAGCTGTATCAACATATTTATCAACGTAGCTCGGTTTTATTTATAATCACGATTCCAAGTTGAAGCATAATTTCAAATACGTACGTAGTATACACCCATCAATTACAATTATTTATAATGTATTGTAAAAAGGTAAAAATAATGTCCAAACAGCATAGAGACATCAAAGATGCGCAGCCATTTTGTTCTTTCACCGCATTTAAGAATGTGTTTAATTATGTTGGTTATTCTCCCAAATTTTCAATAACAAAAAACCCAAGCATCAATACATTTACGGTCACATTGAGATTTAGCACAAGTGACGTGGAAGCAGATGGCAAGTTGAGATTTTGATCTGAGGAACTCAGTCACAGATTTAAGTACGCACTCAGTAAATCTGGGCAACCAGAAATAAGATTGAGCGTATGACAAGTTAGTAGGTCGATTCTGAGTAATGTATATTATCATGTTACTAATGTGTCACTCGTAGCCGAGAATATTCATATTGATATTAACGTGATCATGTGTGTTCAGTGTATTTTTTTTGTGCCGGAATTCGTGCATGTCTGGGGCAATCGTACAGGGTGAGCCCAAAAAAAGCGGAACCCCAAACCCAAAAAATATATTTCATATGTAAAAAATATATGTAGCACCAAAAATAATAATGACTGGAAAGCCAATTTCATAAGCTCCTTTTAGATGAAAAAAAAATACTGAAGTTACTCAATTCGTTTAAAGAATATCAACATTTAAACACAATGACCCTAAAACATGTCTCTTTTGATATCTCAAACTCCAAAAGCGTTTCCATTATGGGGTAGATAAAGTTCTGAAGAGTTCCTTTTGAGGTTTGTTGCTCTTTTGTGTTTTGTACCCCATAAGGAACCATTCAGATGTCCACACAAATGGTGAAGCCAGTGGTTGTTCGTTATTTACCAGTTACATGGGAAACAAATCTGTCTTGAAACGTAGCTTTGGTACCCAAATTTCTCGTTGAAAAATAATAGTCGATTTAGATGGATTGATGGTGAATGTGCGTTCGAAGAGGAATGGGATTAAAATGTCCGGCTTTGTTCATTGGATTAATTTCCTTATCAGATGCTGCACTTTTCCACTGAAATTTAACTGAGAATATTCAGTTGTAGTCGGATTTACTTGTCTTTAAGCTGCCAGTCTTAAATAACTGACGCAGAAAGTCAATTTTAGTTAAATCTTCAGAAGCGATGTCTTCTACTCAGAATACAGCCCTGTTTTGATTGATTCTCAGGATTAAGGTATCCTTTCTTATCGCCCATCCCACTCATCAATTTTCCCTTGAACTTAGCCAAGTAACCGTTATTCCCTAGTTTACGCTTTTCTGGTTATGCTAAATTGTTAATTATTCAATTTGTCAATTTGTCTCTTACTTCTACATTAATTTCTTGTTCCTTGCTTCATTGACATTTAGACCGTTTCTTTTGATTCGTCTTTCATGCTCATGATGTTATAGGTTTCCTCCATGTCCTTTGGTTGTTGTTGATTTATGATTAATGAATAAAAGACACGAATTGAAGATTAATGCAATAAACCACCCGTTAAATGTTTTATGGATTCATTTATAATATAACACGTAAAAACTGAATGGGAATATTTTTACGCGCGTGTTTACTGAAAAAAATAATAATTATGCCTTAAACAAGTGCAAAGGCGCGGTCACACTAGCTCTTTGAATGATATTTTGTGAGGAAAGTATCTGGATTATTTTGAAAAATCAATAATGACAGTGGTAAATTATATTTAAGAGGTGTCACGTGATTGCTTAGGCTTTTGAATAAAATTGCTTTGGGGAAAGCTTGCAGCTTTGCCTTGTTAGTATTCCGCAATTAATGCGCGGCAATTCATCTCCTTATTCAGGTTGTGTGTTTGTTACTTTTAGATCGACTTTTAGCGAAGGGGTTTGCAAGAAGAGCTATGGATACAAAGGTCCCTGGTTCGAATCAACGTCGTGGCTGCTCATTTTCATATACTATTTTCTGCTCTGAATTTATCTTTTAGATAATTTTATTGTAAGGGGAAAGAGAGAACGAGAATCTAAGTGCCTTGAGCAACCCATCTACGATAAAAAAAAATCGCCGGGGAGCGACCCCCGATCCCCCCCCCCCTTCCTACGGGCCCGCAGGCTCTGTCGTTTTGGACGGATATTGCAGTTTTTGCGAAATGTTAAAAATGAGGTGCACCGGTATCAAACAGATCACCTTGTCAGACAAATGTCTTATGAGATTTGTTGCATTTGGATGCTTTCGAAAACTGACCTTCAACCTCGTCAAGATTTCAGAGAGATCGACGTAGATTCTGCTTTGAAGAGATGAAGTGCGACCTCAGCGGTCAACAGTCACAACGAAGCATATTGCACAAATTAATAATCAGCGTGTTTGTCTAAAGTGATCAATATTTGGTCATAATTGCCTTTTCCTTCCTCCCATCCGAACGCTCAATATCACTGCCTAAGAAGAGTCAATTTTACCTGGTTGCTAAGGCAACTTCACCGATAAATCATTGGAAGTTTTTGTGCTGTCAACATTCTGACACGCAATTCAAACACGAGGCGAGACGGCAATTAAAGTCCAACGAAACACGGCTAAGTCATTTTGAATGTATGGGTAAGTATGGTGGGAAAACATGAAACAAGTGACCGCTGTTCAAAGAGGCACTGTAGTCTCGGTCGAAAGGGACCTAGTTAGTTGAGTCCTGTAGCACAGTGCGACCAGAGGTTTTTGATGATTTCTGATAACACCCTGGAAATTTAAGCGGCTGGAACTCATTTTAGGGGAACAGCAAAGCCATTTTTTCGTTTAGTGATACGGCAGAAATAGGAGCGTCCATGCGTGATATTATGGCAACCTTGAATTTCATTTGAAGTGCACTAATTGATCAGCAGACGATATCATTTAGTGGCATCCTATTGAACGTCAGCGCAGGTCGTGATTTCAGAAAGATTGGATGACTTTATAATTAAAAACCCGAACTGGTCGGCTGCATGTTTGCCTCAACTCGTACGTGCGCGGCCTACGGATCTGGTATATATCGCCCTTAATACGCTTCTTCAGGAACGACCGAAGTGGTTTTTAAGTGGGGCGGCCAAATGCCGTCTGTGTAATTTGTTTTTTTCTTTAACACCACGGTCACGTTTGTTGCGAAGCCAATATCGCAATAGGGTATTAGAGTTTTGTTCGTGTTTCGGAAACATTGGACGGACTTACTTGGCGATCGCTTAAGTTCCCCTGTGAATGTAATCTGGAGACCACTAGATACTTAGATCGCTCGCAAATCGTCGAGCAGCCAACCAACGGAATCTAAAGCTCTGTCTCTTCTCTGGTAGGATATTTAATTGACAGTCAGGCGTATCGCATGGTTTGCCATCTTGAGTTCTCGTCCAGATTGACTTGTTGAGTTTTCAGGTACATGTAACTGCTTTCCAGAAGCCAGTTAATTCTATATTGGACGGGTTTTATTATCTCACCACAAGACTAACTCACTACCAGGGAAACTCAATTTTTTGAAGAACCATCCGTCAAGATTAAGGGAAACTCTTATTGGTCTGTTTTCTGGATTGTTAACTGTGTCAACTAAGTCAACATGGCTGCAGATTCAACAAATTCGACAACCTTCGATAACACTGACGTATATTATAGCTACCTACAGCGCCAGATTATAGCCGGTGTCATCGGCCTCGTCTGCATACTCGGCATCGCGGGTAATACCTTGGTCATCCTAGCCGTAGCCCTATCCCGCAAACTTCGCCACACCACCAACTACTTCGTCTTGAACCTGAGCCTGGCCGACCTGCTGACGTGTCTGTTCCTGCCGATGGCTGTGGTGGCGTTGCTCAACGATGTCTGGCCGCTGCCTGATTTTTTGTGCATCGCGACAGGTGCGGTCTTCGTCACCTGTCTGACGTGCAGCGTCAACTGCCTCGCTTGTGTCGCGTTTAACCGTTACATCCTCATCACCAAACCCAAAACCCTGTACCGTCGGCTGTACACGCCTCGGAGGACCATCCTCGCCATCATCTTGGTCTGGTTTGTGCCTCTCTCTGTTGTTATCATCGCAGCCAGCACCAGGTACATCAAGCTGGGATTTGACTCTCAGTTCTCCTGCTGCGCCTGGGTGATCTCCGAGTCGGACCCCGGCTTCTACTTCGTGATGTTCTCCTCATGCTGCCCTCTCCAGTTCGCAGTCCTATCATGGAGTTACGGGAACATCTTCTACCACGTCCGCAAACACGCCAAAGCAGTTGCGCATATGGAGGGAACATCAGGAGAATCTGACACCACCGGAAGTAACGAAAGTCGAGGCAATCCTCCGATCCAGGCAGCACCGAGAAAACAGAGCAGTAAACTCCAAATAGAAGTGACCAAGAATTTGTTCTGTGTTGTCTGCGTATTTCTGATTTGCACAGCTCCATTTGGTATAAGTCTTATTCTCGGTAAGAATGGTCTGCGTCTTTACCCAATCGGGGCTGCTTTACTTTGCTGCAACAGCTGCGTTAACCCGATCATTTATGCGGCAAAACACCCGCAATTCAGACTGGTTTTCAAGTCCATACTCCTCTGCCGATTTTCTGACATTCCAGAGAGGGTACGCTTTTGTTGATTATCTTGATATCGAGTATTTGCATTATAATTCCTTTTCTTTCCGCTGTCATTTAACCATGTACATGTATATTTCCATAATGTTGTCCGCATTTTAACTGGGATTTATGGAAAGTGGTTTCCAACAAGTTCTCTGCAGCATGATGTAGCAAAAGATTAGTTCTATTTTTATTATTGAAAAAAAAATGCAATCACATCGAAGACTAAAAGTAGTTTCTTTGGTATTATAATGCAAAGGTGGGGCCTACTATATACCTTTCCAGAAGGTTGTGTTGAGTTTTGGCACCGTTATTGAACCATGGTTTGAGTCGCTGCGGAAATCAGCGTCTGTTTTCTTCTTTTGATGTATTATAGAGACCTAATTTTCAAAACAAAGTATGTGTGAATATAGCTTCATTATGATAATTACACTTCTTCATTGCATTGTTTTGTAACATTTGTTATATCATGGCCACTTGTCCAGTCTGCAAAAATAACTGAATACTTCATATACACTGCATTTCTTATAAATGAACCTCATATACACTGCACCGCATATAAAATGCGCGCGAGTGCACGCCTCTGTAGGGCTTGCCCACGCACTCGCGACAGAGAACTGCAACAGGTCAGTCTAATGTCTGGTATGAACGCTTGCAGTTTATATCAAAGGTTACACCGCAGTGGTTTAATTTATTCTCGCACAGTATTTTTTTGACTTAATGACACGATATTATAACAAAACATGTGTTGACTGCTGTGATGTTGGATATGTCGTTTTTTTTACCCCCGCGTAGTAAAAACAGCATATTCCCATCAGCAGTCACCGGGGGTTAAATGTTATCCCACATAGCACAATACAGGGTGAGTCAGAAAAAGCGAAACCCAAATGTCGGGACTTCTGTTTTAGTGAAGTTCTGCATGTAGCACTTCCAACATCTAGGATATATAAGCCCAATTCATAAGCCTTCTTTTAGTACAAGAATCATTCAAATCACTCATGTACTTTTGACGTTACGGAATTTTAAACTCAACCACCATTTTAAAGTTCTGTCCACGGATCACAATTACGGTGTGCGTTCTTTCAGCAAAACGAAACAATTCACACACATCCCTATGTGATTTGTATTTCGGTTTTGCTGAAAGCACACTCACCTTCTGTTGATCCGTGGACAGAACTGTAAAACGATGGTTGTGTTTAAAATTACGTACCTTCAAAAGTACAAGAGTGATTTGAATTATTCTTGTACTAAATTAAAGCTTATGAATTGGGCTTTCATATCCTAGATTTAGGAAGTGCAACATGCAGAACTTCACTAAAACAATGGTCCCGACATTTGGGTTTCGTGTTTTTTTTACTCACCCTGTATAGGTCTAGTATGCATTCGTTTGATAACATAAATTGTTAGTAGGACGCGCGAGAAAACAATGAATGCCAGAGCTCGACTGTTGAGGGAGCTGCAAAACATAAACGTGCACAAACACGTAATACAAAAAAAACCCTGCATAACCATTGGGTGTAATGCAAATGATTTATGACAGAATGACATGACTTGAACAAAAGGTGGCGCAATGCTTCCAGCGATATGGCTAGTCTTTTGTACCGTGAGTGTAGAATTATTACGTGGGAGTAAAGATGGCGCCATCTATAGTATTTCCGCAATATCGGAGTACTTTGTATAGGGAGGGTGATGCTCTGCAAATGGGTATTGTCATGGAAACCGTAGAAAACTCCTCATTATTGTTACCTATTGTTGAAAATGTCCTTCTGAAAGATCAAACCGATATTTCATGCTGGAATAATTTATGAGCATCGATATAAACGATTAACCGTTGAGCCAACTCGCTCCATGTTATGGCTGTATCATCCGATGCATGATATGAATAATGAAGGACGTTGAATCATTTACTAAACGCAGAAAATAAAAAATATATATAAAAAGTAAAATTTATCGTGTTTTTTTTTCAGAGCCACAGCTCATCAACATTTGTCGATTGTATGCCCTCAAATAAATCAGCCTGGATTCGCAACTTGTATACTTTAAGGATTCATTTGAAGATTCTATTAAATAGATCCCAGATTTATTACTTTTTTCAGCTTTGCTAAAAATGTTTGTTTTGTACGACAATTTCTCCCTAAGGCCCAAGCGTATTTATGTAAGGAGAAATAAGCAAGAGTATAATAGCTTAACCTAAATACCACAAGCACAGTTCAGTTCTAGTTAGTATAATTTTGCATTGACAACAGTGGGTTGTGCATTCAAAGAAACAGATGGCTCCTTAGTGTTTGTAATTCAACGTGTATATTTGTTTTAAATACAACTATTTAAACAATGCAGATTATCCTTTACATGATATTACTACAAATTTAACAATTTAGCAAAACGTTAACAAAGTCTAAATTGGATATACAATCACACTTGCTATCAGAACCTAAATTTGCAAAAAAAGTAAATGTTTTCCTGGCAAAAACAGGCTTCCAGCCAATTTGTCATGTTATGAACATTGCTTAAACAAATGAGTTTGCCGAACAATTTTTGCAGTGAATTATTTTGAAACTCAACTGCTCACTGACTTGTTTTCCAGCGCTTGGTGTCACGGCTGCAATACTAACTCCTACATTCTCATAAAATTGTCCGTACAGTTTTACAAACTCAAAAAAAATGCGCATTCAGCTTTTGTAAATTTATGCACTTTGAAAAACGTCAAAATCGTTGAACTGTCAGGTGACAAAAAAAAGGACGAAACGCATTACCTAGGATGCTTTAAGAATGCGCATTAACACATTTAATGCGACGTCATGTGACAGGATAGAATCATCATGACATCACTTCATTTGTTTGTCTATGTACATACCGAGTACCGTCCGAATCGGGCATATAGTCATGCAGGAATCGGCCTTTGTATAATTCACATTAACGTACGTCAATAACAAATGATGAAGTCATCAAAACATCACTTCAATTTTTAATTTTTGACACGTCATGCAGAAATCGGCCTTTGTATATTTCACATTTAACGTACGTCAAATAACAAATGATGAAGTCATTAAGACATCACTTCAATTTTTAATTTCTGACGCGTCCCTGTCTGTGTGCAGTTTAAACCGAATTGGAACATTAGTTCTTTAGAAATAATCTACTTTAATGTCACATCACTTGACGTGATGACGTAATCATTGCTTAACTTCAATTTCTATCTATAACACGACTACGTCTATGTACATACCAAGTTTCAACCCAGCCAGACATGTGGGTTCTTTGTTAGATATAGGACTTTTAAATGTATACCCATAAGATGTCGTCACATGACTCGTGATGACGTCGTCATGACGTCTATCTTTGCGGACCGTCTATTTACTGGGGTCTTTTCTTGTGGTAAGGTTGATGAACATCTAAATCAAAGTTAAATTTTAATGCCAGAAACATTTTGAACAAAGTCTGTGGGATATGTATAGAGCAAAAAGAAATAGAAGATGAAAGAAAATCAGAACCAAAACAAAGCTCTTCTGCTACTTGCGGAAAAACCAAAAAAAGTTGATGGATACCAGGAATAACGAATTCTTGTGTGCGCGACAGACTATTTACAAGTTGTTTTTTTACCACAAGACTTCCAGTATACTAAACAGGGTGAGAAAAAAAGAAAGGGGCCGAATTGGAAAAAAATGTTAAAAGAATATGTGACTCGCTCCATTTCATAAAGATAGCATAGGAATAAAGTACATGTTATTGACTAGTAACTGTGAAATTGATGTAATTTGCGTACTCTATTCCCATGTTATATTTATCTTTATAAACAAAGATCACACAATTCAGCTGTCCACCACTGATCCCTTACCGATGAATACATGTACCCATTAAATGCAGTGAAACATGGACGATTTCCCACCCCCAAGAATAAAAGAAAACTTGCAAGGGAAAACAGACAAATCTGGCACCAAAATTTCAGGGGGGGGGGGAAGGTTCACCTGTTCCTCATATTCAAAATATGATTTTCGTTTTTGAACATGCGTAACTTTTAAAACCATTAATCATTTTCAGTATTCCTTTTGTTCCCGATAACTGAAGGTACGTGCTCTTTTAAGACATGCTTCGTTGGTGTTTTAAATTTGATTGTTTTTGAGAAACAGAAAATGAATCCATGTCATTTTCTTCTTGACTCACCCTGCAGTGCTGCGGTCACCTTTAAGGCATACAGTAACGTTATTTTACATTTTTATCAATGTGTAAGCATAGAACAACAACAAGTACTTTGAATCTAGCTTTATTTACATTTACTCACCCCTAGTCTGAGTATCACCCGTTGTCGAACGGAGCCCCCTCTTATATATGTAAGCATCCGAATTTTACGATCCCTCGCGCCAGCCAATTGGAGTCGACATGACATTATTTTATTTTAAAATCTGGACTGAGCTGTTGATTGGTCAATTTGGATGCCATGTTTTTGTGATACAACAACGGGCATAGAGATCTTATTAACCCCGACGTTGTCTTTCAATACGGGTTACCGAAGGCCCGATATATAGAAGGCGCCCGTTGAATGGGCAGAATCTCGAGCTCAAGACGCAGTCTAGCTGCATAATTAATTGCCGAATCTGCTCACATATCATATAACCGTGCTGTGCAAGGGGATACTTTTTAGACTAGGCCCCACATACATAAGTCACATTCTGTTTTCTTCGTATTCAGGGCATTCCCGGTTGGAAGAGGTGCTGATGGTGTAAACTGTACTGGCTCTCAGACTTGGATCATTTTGAGGGATTGGCCGAAACCTTATCAGGTGCCTGATAACAACTTTGAAGACTGGGTGCGAGGTTGCGTAAATTATGGGGTTGATGCTGCTGTTGCTGTACAAAACGACGGCAAACCAGGGCACGAGCTTGTAGGTTGATTCCGAAGAGAGCATTAGTGAAACGGCTGCTGGCGTGAAGCAAAGAAGGAAGGCCAAAACGACGTAAAGCAAGTTCTTGGTGACGTTAAGTTGTCTCCTAGAGATTCGTTTTCTCGTCGCTCTGTTTCTTCCTGTGGCTGCCATCGTCTCTTGTGACGTCTTACGGACGTAGCAGAAAATGAAAATGTAACAGATAGTAATAGTAATTAGTTGTGTAAGGTAGTAGATTCCTGCGGTTAACAGACGATGGGTTCTGGTGTACGGATTTGATCGGACCCAAGTGCAGGATTTGGACAGCTTTTCGTAGCCCATTTCACCAAAGTCTGTCAGGACAGGCGTCAGGGCGCAGCCGAGCGGTATAGCCCAGGAGAAGATGACCATCAGGGCGAGCTTGCGGGCGGTGTAGATGCGACGGGTGGTGAAGCGAGACTTGGTGATGGCCACCCAACGGTTGATTGCGATCAGAGCTAGGTTGTTCATGCTGCATCCGATTGTGACCAAGATGACGAAGGCAGCAGCAGTACACACCCATGGTGCCCGCGGTATTAGCCACTCGTCCCCTCCCAGGACCGCAACAGCCTGCCAGGGCAGAAAGAGGCAGGTCAGTACGTCAGCGACGGCCAAATTGACGACGAAGACGTTTGTTACCGTCTGGAGTTTCTTGGATAAACCAACGGCGATGATGACTAAGCTGTTGCCAACTGTGCCAAGAATGACAACAGTGATTACAATTGCCACAAAAATCTGTCTCTCGTAGAAATGTTCAAAGACCAGAATTTCTGGTTCACCCTCAACCACTGGACTTGACGTTGTATTATTCATTTTAGTGTGACAGTTATCACAATGTCAAAAAGAATCCTTCTGAATAGTCATTGGGTTGCAAGTTCAATAGAGTTGTCGTTATGACACCATTCTCTGTCTCCGGTATCACTAACCAGCAGCGTGCAGTTCTGTGTACTGTACCGTATAGCGCAGTTTTCTCACATCACGATTCAAAAGCAATTATGGTAATGATGGTCATAATGGTATGACTTCAAACCGGGTCCAAATGAACATGATTCATACGCACTTTGTTGATGTGAGCCCTGTATAGCATTAATACCGTGAACTGTCAACTTTCTTGGTGACGTCAGGTTGTCTCTTTGATGTAACCGTTGATGTGTTTCCTTGTGTAGCGGCCATCGTCTTTTGTGACGTCTTATGGACGTAGCAGAAAATGGAAATGTATTTGATACGGATAGTTATTAGTTGTGTTGGGTTGTAGATTTTTGCTGTTAACAGACGGTGGTTTAATTGGCCCATCGGCATTTGCAAGTTAGCCACGCCCCTTAGACAACCCTATGGAGTTTTGTACGTTAACTTTTGTTTGTATCAGATTTTACGCGTTCCGCGTCCAATTGTCTATCATGTAATTGGACAATATTTCACAAGCTGCGTTGACGCGATTCTACCGCGATAGATTAGTTTTATTCTCCTTACTTTACGTTGTGGGATGGTCTGTTTAGGCCTGCACTTATGGTATTACAAATGATGGTCCACGCCAGTTTGTGTTCTAGTTTAATACATTTTTGTGCTATGATTGTGTTATCGTCGGACCCTTTGCCATTACACACCATCCTCTCAAGCTTGATGGAACATACAATTAGTTTAATTTCTTTTATAAAAAAACAGAAAAAAAACCAGTTACATGGGATCGCGGAGAAAGTAGCTCTTTTCAGATTATAATTTAATAGCTGCGTATTTTTAAACCTTTCCTAATTGCCGCCACTTGTCATTTGACTCACCCTGCAGTGCTGCGGTCACCTTTAAGGCATACAGTAACTAGTAGGGGGGCCAATGTGCAGATTTGGGTTCCCGTCGAAATTTCATGTTAATTTTTGGCAACCATTATAAATGTAATCTTATGAGTCCTGAGAACAAGAAAATTGATGTTGCCATTTTTTCCATTGACCTTTAGTGACCTTGACCTGAGGTCAAAGTTCATGGGTCATTTTCACCTAAAATTTGCCTTTCGGAAGGGTTTGCAAAGATTTCCCAGGCAATTGAGCACATATTGTATTTGGTTGAGAGTTTCTCCATAATAATAAATGTTATTATTAATGTATTTATGGGTTTTCCTGAAGAAAACATGGGAAAATGTCACTTTTGCCCGAAAAGGGCTGGGTTGTTTTGACCATCTCACGCAGATTCCACCCGTCGCATCTACACCGCCCGTAAGCTCACTCTGATGGTCATCTTCTCCTGGGCTATACCGCTCGTTTGCGCCCTGACGCCTGTCCTGACAGACTTTGGTGAAATGGGCTACGAAAAGCTGTTCAAATCCTGCACTTGGGTCCGATCAAATCCGTACACCAGAACCCATCGTATGTTAACTGCAGGAATCTACTACCTTACACAACTAATTACTATTACTATCTGTTACATTTCCATTTTCTGCTACGTCCGTAAGACGTCACAAGAGACGATGGCAGCCACAGGAAGAATCAGAGCAACGAGAAAACGAATCTCTAGGAGACAACTTAACGTCACCAAGAACTTGCTTCACGTCGTTTTGGCATTTCTTCTTTGCTTCACGCCAGCAGCCGTTTCACTAATGCTCTCTTCGGAATCCACCTACAAGCTCGTGCCCTGGTTTGCCGTCGTTTTGTACAGCAACAGCAGCGTCAATCCCATAATTTACGCAACCTCGCACCCAGACTTCAAAGTTGTTATCAGGCACCTGATAAGGTTTCGGCCAATCCCTCAAAGTGATCCAAGTCTGAGAGCCAGGACAGTTTACACCATCAGCACCTCTTCCAACCGGGAATGCCCTGAATACGAAGAAGACAGAATGTGACTTATGCATGTGGGGCCTAGTCTAAAGAGTATCCCCTTGCACAGCACGGTTATATGATATGTGAGCAGATTCGGCAATTAATTATGCAGCTAGACTGCGTCTTAAGCTCGAGATTCTGCCCATTTAACGGGCGCCTTCTATATATCGGGCCTTCAGTAACCCGTATTGAAAGCCAATGTCGGGGTTAATAAGATCTCTATGCCAGTTGTTGTATCACAAAAACATGGCATCCAAATTGACCAATCAACAGCTTAGTCCAGATTTAAAAAAAATAATGTCATGTCGACTCCAATTATCAGCTAGCGCGAGGGATCGTACAGTTCTGACGCTTACATATATAAGAGGGGGCTCCGTTGGACTACGTGTGATACTCAGAATAGGGGCGAGTAAATGTAAATAAAGCTAGATTCAAAGTACTTGTTATTTTTCTATGCTGACACATTGATAAAAATGTAAAATAACGTTTAGTGGGGGGCCAATGTACTTCCGTTGGCATGTCATGTTAATTTATGGCAACCATTATAAATGTAATCTTATGAGTCCTGAGAACAAGAAAATTGATGTTGCCATTTTTTCCATTGACCTTTAGTGACCTTGACCTGAGGTCAAAGTTCATGGGTCATTTTCACCTAAAATTTGCCTTTCGGAAGGGTTTGCGAAGATTTTCGAGGCAAGTGAGCACATATTGTATTTGGTTGAGAGTTTCTCCATAATAATAAATGTTATTATTAATGTATTTATGGGTTTTCCTGAAGAAAACATGGGAAAATGTCACTTTTGCCCGAAAAGGGCTGGGTTGTTTTGACCATCTCACGCAGATTCCGGCCCCTCCCCCATGACCTCGGCCATCGAGTGACGAAAAATTATGAAACTTGGTACATGCATAGAACAACATAACATGAACAAACCCAAGAAATTTCATGACTATGGGTTAAAGGGTTTTGGAATTACGGCTAATTAATTATTCATAAGCACGTATGGTAATTCAATTGTGTACACTACGTATATGGGGAAATTCAGTTTTGACGGAGGGTAGCGCCAAAAATATTTCGCTGCGCGGCAACCTGTGGTTCGAATTTTGTTTTTGGTATCAAAAGATGTGCAAGACTCGAGGCTAAAAAGTCAGGACAGCTCAGGCCGTGAAATAAATAATTTTTTTAAAGAGTATCGCGGAAAAAGTTGAAAGAGGGAAAATCCGCCCCCCCCCCCCTTTAGGGCCTAAATATGACCAACCCTTTAGTGCCTGGCATCTAAATATGAAATGTTGTAAAGTGTCCTCTGCAGTACCACACTCACACAGGGTGTTTGTCGGTTGAGGAAAATCCCCACTTCTTTTGGTTCGAGCCACTCCAGAGCGGAGGTGATTTAAGCACCTCCAGGTCTTCCATCCTGCATTGGATCCTGCAGGTAAGGCTTCTGCAGGCTTGATTGGCATCTCATGTAGTGGGGGAGACGCCACCAGTCTGGTCAACCCAGGAGGCACACACTTGGGTCTTAATAGCAGGGTTGATCGCTTTCAGGTGACTCACAGTGAAGCACTGCTGTGACTGGTCAAGAACATCGGTCAACGTCTTCCCTTGGGGGACCGTTCCTTTGAAGACGTACTCTACTCTGCCTTTGAATACTACAAAGAAACGATGGTTCTTCAATAGAACACCAATAAACTGGATAAGGGTCAGGTCTGATGTCATGTCCAGGATCTTCTGAAGGAGTCAGCAAGGGTTAACACTGTCAAAAGCAGCTGTAAGATCAACAAAGACAGCGCCGGTGATATATTTTTTTCTGATGGAAGCAGTCCTTAATGTACTGAGTGAGGTTTAGAAGCTGTCCCGTTGTAGATTTGCCGGGACGGAAGCCTGCCTGCCTGTTCCTGTATCAGTTGTTTCTCAATGAAGAGGCAAGAAGGTTGAGGAGGAAATATTCCAGCAACTTGAATGTGTGACTTTGGGACGATAAGTTTTGACATGCATTGGGTCTTTTCCGGGTTTTAGGAGGGCGATGACCTCCGACTTTTGCCACACTTTAGGTATTGTTTGTGTGGCGAGGCAGGTGTTGATGAGCTGGAGTAACCAATTTGAGGCGTTTGGTCCAAGATGTTTCAGTTCTTTGGTGAAAATGTTATCCAGTTTGGTTGATTTCCTGTTCTTTATTTATGCCAGTCGCAAGTTCATTAGCAGAGAAGGATTTGATGAAGCCAATAAGGTCGATGGCGGGGTCTTTCTGGCGGAGCTTGGCTTTCGGTCGCTTATCAGGAGAACGTGGCACTTTACCATTTAAATAGCAGTTGTTGTGGGCTATTTGGTTGGCGGTGATGTTACAATGCTGTTCACTTGGCTGAGCTTTTTTTTAATATTATACTCCAGGCTTGGAGGCCATATTGGCTTCTTGGCCATATTGGTGGTTACCACAAGGGTTTGCCACAAGCTTTGAAGCTGTTCTGATATGGCTGTTATTAATTCCTCCCCAGATGAGATGGTATCGACAGCAAGAGAGTCGTTTTCATACATGCGTCTCTATTTCCTGTAAAGTTCAGCACTACGGGATGCTGCTAGGCCTGGGATGTAATCAGTGCGGCAGCCCGTAGGGATGTTCTTGCACCACCACATCAACAAACCGGTGTCATAGTATTCAGGGGTTGGATCAATGTCAGCTAGATGGTGTTTGAGCTCATTGGTGAAGCCTTCACAGTTGGCCTTACTAAGTTGAAACAGCGGTGGAATGGAATTGTTGCAAAGAGACAGCAGCAGTCACTTTGATTCCAATAGGGCGATGTCGAGTCTTTGTAATGGGGTCAAGGACCATCTTGTTGCTAAGTGAGGCGATGTTGTGGCTCACAAGGGCTAGAGCAGGGTTGAAACTTTATCTCCAGCCGCCACTATGGAAAAACTTTGACAGTTTCGCATTGTGCATGCATGCAACTGTAAACTCAACAAAAAAGAGGAAATTCCTAAATTCAGAAGACTTTGTACAGTGATTTTAAATTTTGAATGGCAGAAATGAGAATGAAAAAAGAGGAAATCAGCTGATCCGAGGAAAAGTTGCATGCCTGATTGTGAATAAGGCTCAGTTGACTTGCTTCGGCCAGCGATTCAAAAGCGTCGACGTCTGTGCTGGAATGATAGCCAATGATGCTGCTGTGGCTATTAAATCGCCGATAATTATGCGTGGCTTGGGCTGTTTTGTGGATTGTGGCGGTGGCATTAGGATGGAAGACCTGGAGGTGCTTAAATCACCTCCGCTCTGGAGTGGCTCGCACCAAAAGCACCATGAAGAAGTGGGGATTTTCCTCAACCGACAAACACCCTGTGTGAATGCGGTACTGCAGAGGACACTTTACAACATTTCATATTAAGATGCCAGGCCCTAAAGGGTTGGTCATATTTTGGCCCTAAAAGGGGGCAGATTTCCCCCCCCCCCTTTCAACTTTTTCCGCAATACTCTTGAAAAGTTATTTATTTCGCGGCCTGAGCTGTCCTGACTTTTTAGCCTCGAGTCTTGCACATCTTTTGATACCAAAAACATAAAATTCGAAACACAGGTTGCCGCGCAGCGAAATATTTTCGGCGCTACCCTCCGTCAAAACTGAATTTCCCCATATACGTAGTGTACACATTTGAATTACCATATGTGCTTATGAATAATTAATTGGCCGTAATTCCAAAACCCTTTGACCCATAGTCATGAAATTTCTTGGGTTTGTTCATGTTAAGTTGTTCTATGCATGTACCAAGTTTCATAATTTTTCGTCACTCGATGGCCGAGGTCATGGGGGGGGGGCGGAATCTGCGTGAGATGGTCAAAACAACCCGGCCCTTTTCGGGCAAAAGTGACATTTTCCCATGTTTTCTTCAGGAAAACCCATAAATACATTAATAATAAAATTTATTATAACGGAGAAACTCTCAACCAAATACAATGTGTGCTCACTTGCCTGGAAAATCTTCGCAAACCCTTCCGAAAGGCAAATTTTAGGTGAAAATGACCCATGAACTTTGACCTCAGGTCAAGGTCACTAAAGGTCAATGGAAAAAATGGCAACATCAATTTTCTTGTTCTCAGGACTCATAAGATTACATTTATAATGGTTGCCATAAATTCACATGACATGCCAACGGAAGTACATTGGCCCCCCCACTAGCAGGTGAAAGTTGCGTTTTTTACATATTGCTGATACTTGATCGCTCATGGATAGATGGCAGTCGAGGATTACACCTAGATTTCTGCACTTGGAGGATGACTGAATTACAGTTTCACCAATGACGATGCGGTAATACTGTGAGTAATCGTTTTGGCTGACAAAGTGTGCAATTGAGAGTTTTTTGGTGGGGTATGCCTGAGATCAAAATCACTTGTGAAATGCGATCAAAACCTCGGTTTGCTCCATAATTATACTCCCCCGATCAGTCGGCACTATTTTGGAGCTATACGGCACTATTTTGGAGCTATTTTACGGCGGGAAAAAAGACTGTTAATAGTGATAGTAGAAACATTTATTCAATGTTGCCATTTCCACACAATAAAATGTTACAATGCCGTGTAAACATTATTATACAGAATAAAATGCAATGAATTATGTAATTGTGTATTTACGCTTACTTGAACAGAATGCTTGTAAAATGAGGATTTTGTTTTAAAATTAATATTTAATTATGGTTTTCCCAGTTACTTCAACAATTGTATAATATAGCATTCCTTGGAAAGATACTTTAATTTCGTTCCAGAACGTCGTTGGGCTCCATTGTTTATTCCGAATTCGAATGTAATTCCTATTATGTCTCCAGTGTAATTCGCAAATATAATATAAAGCATTCAGATTCGTCCACGTTTCGGGAAATTCGTCTAATGTGGAGATAGGTGTTGAATTAAAAAAACATGCTTTATTATTTTTTTAATTTGTTATTCGTAGTTTCGTTTCCTTTCGTTTCCTTTCGTACTTTCGTTTCGTTTCGTTTAGGTATATGTTCTGATACCTTTATATTTGCGGGCCGCGTTCCTGTACTTCTGTCAGAAGTCAGCACAGTTAATCAAAAGACATCGTCGGCAATGTTTTTTTTTAGTTTTTTTATTTTCGTCTTTAAATCTCTTCGTACATTTCTGTTCCTGAATATATTGTAGTAAATTTTGTAATAAATTGTGTGTAGGGCCTACCTATATTTCCTATGAATCAAGTAAAATTAATACAATAAATTAATGCAAAATTATATTGAGCATTATTTTCTCTCGCCCATTGTTGAAAGTCTCGAACGAGACGATGATGGATCCATAATTTTACCTGATTTCAGTGTTTCTTTTTTTCTCAAAGAGAGAAAATTTATTTTGTCTGACAAGTCTTGCTTTCTGGTAGTAGGCCCTACTTTCAAACCTGTGAAATCATTGGCTGTTCTTGACTAAACTAATCACTCTCGCAAAACACAGCATTGTTAATATTGTTTGTAAAAAATAATGAGGAAGTTTGAGGGGAACAAAAACAATGACTATACCGGTACATGTTTTTGAACATTTTGAAATAGGCCTATATACCTTTTGTCCGGAACAGCAATGTGTTTACAATCTATCCAGTTCCCTTTCCCACACAGTTCCTGAATAAATTAACCTCGAAAAAAATACACTTTTTTGTAAATTTCAGTTGCCAGTAGGCACTGAGAGCTATGGGTTTTTAGTATCTGCGCAAATTCACATTTTCAAGAACTTGTATTCTAATAAACTGTTATGTTGAGAAATTGACTCCTACTTTTTTCACTTTAGTCATGAAATTTCTTGGGTTTGTTCATGTTATGTTGTTCTATGCATGTACCAAGTTTCATAATTTTTCGTCACTCGATGGCCGAGGTCATGGGGGGGGGGCGGAATCTGCGTGAGATGGTCAAAACAACCCAGCCCTTTTCGGGCAAAAGTGACATTTTCCCATGTTTTCTTCAGGAAAACCCATAAATACATTAATAATAAAATTTATTATTATGGAGAAACTCTCAACCAAATACAATATGTGCTCACTTGCCTCGAAAATCTTCGCAAACCCTTCCGAAAGGCAAATTTTAGGTGAAAATGACCCATGAACTTTGACCTCAGGTCAAGGTCACTAAAGGTCAATGGAAAAAATGGCAACATCAATTTTCTTGTTCTCAGGACTCATAAGATTACATTTATAATGGTTGCCATAAATTAACATGACATGCCAACGGAAGTACATTGGCCCCCCACTAAACGTTATTTTACATTTTTATCAATGTGTCAGCATAGAAAAATAACAAGTACTTTGAATCTAGCTTTATTTACATTTACTCGCCCCTATTCTGAGTATCACACGTAGTCCAACGGAGCCCCCTCTTATATATGTAAGCGTCAGAACTGTACGATCCCTCGCGCTAGCTGATAATTGGAGTCGACATGACATTATTTTTTTTAAATCTGGACTAAGCTGTTGATTGGTCAATTTGGATGCCATGTTTTTGTGATACAACAACTGGCATAGAGATCTTATTAACCCCGACATTGGCTTTCAATACGGGTTACTGAAGGCCCGATATATAGAAGGCGCCCGTTAAATGGGCAGAATCTCGAGCTTAAGACGCAGTCTAGCTGCATAATTAATTGCCGAATCTGCTCACATATCATATAACCGTGCTGTGCAAGGGGATACTCTTTAGACTAGGCCCCACATGCATAAGTCACATTCTGTCTTCTTCGTATTCAGGGCATTCCCGGTTGGAAGGGGTGCTGATGGTGTAAACTGTCCTGGCTCTCAGACTTGGATCACTTTGAGGGATTGGCCGAAACCTTATCAGGTGCCTCATAACAACTTTGAAGTCTGGGTGCGAGGTTGCGTAAATTATGGGATTGACGCTGCTGTTGCTGTACAAAACGACGGCAAACCAGGGCACGAGCTTGTAGGTGGATTCCGAAGAGAGCATTAGTGAAACGGCTGCTGGCGTGAAGCAAAGAAGAAATGCCAAAACGACGTGAAGCAAGTTCTTAGTGACGTTAAGTTGTCTCCTAGAGATTCGTTTTCTCGTTGCTCTGATTCTTCCTGTGGCTGCCATCGTCTCTTGTGACGTCTTACGGACGTAGCAGAAAATGGAAATGTAACAGATAGTAATAGTAATTAGTTGTGTAAGGTAGTAGATTCCTGCAGTTAACATACGATGGGTTCTGGTGTACGGATTTGATCGGACCCAAGTGCAGAATTTGAACAGCTTTTCGTAGCCCATTTCACCAAAGTCTGTCAGGACAGGCGTCAGGGCGCAAACGAGCGGTATAGCCCAGGAGAAGATGACCATCAGAGTGAGCTTACGGGCGGTGTAGATGCGACGGGTGGTGGAGCGAGACTTGGTGATGCCCACCCAACGGTTGACGGCGATCAGAGCCAGGTTGTTCATGCTGCATCCGATTGTGACCAAAATGACGAAGGCAGCAGCAGTACACACCCATGGTGCCCGCGGTATGGGCCACTCGTCCCCTCCCAGGACCGCCACAGCCTGCCAGGGCAGAAAGAGGCAGGTCAGTACGTCTGCAACGGCCAAATTGACGACGAAGACGTTTGTGACCGTCTGGAGTTTCTTGGATAAACCAACGGCGATGATGACGAAGCTGTTACCAACTGTGCCAAGGATGACAACAGTGATGACAATTGCCACAAAAATCTGTCTCTCGTAGAAATGTTCAAAGACCAGAATTTCTGGTTCACTTTCTACCACTGGACTAGACGTTGTATTATTCATTTTAGTGTGAGGAACTAAATTAACTCACAAGTAAAAGTTGACAATGTCTTTACCAAGCGACAGTTATCATAATGTCAAAAAGAATCCTTCTGAATAGTCATTGGGTTGCAAGTTCAATAGAGTTGTCGTTATGGCACCATTCTCTGTCTCCGGTATCACTAACCAGCAGCGTGCAGTTCTGTGTACTGTACCGTATAGCGCAGTTTTCTCACACCACGATTCGAAAGAATTTATGGTAAATGATGGTCATAATGGTATGACTTCAAACCGGGTCCAAATGAACATGATTCATACGCACTTTGTTGACGTGCGCCCTGTATAGCATTAATACCGTGAGCTGCCAACTTTAATGTAATACAATTATTATGAAATATATACGGGTAACTTTATCTTAATAACTGGTTGACAAATATGTGAATGACCAATAGAATTTTTCATGAGAGACAATAATGGTCGTTTTGACTGATTTCAATCGAAAGTTGGCAATTGAAAAGTTGCGCGAAGCCAAGAATGAACGCCAATACGACGTACATCAATTTCTTGGTGACGTCAGGTTGTCTCTTTCATGTAACCGTTGATGTGTTTCCTTGTGTAGCGGCCATCGTCTTTGGTGACGTCTTATGGACGTAGCAGAAAATGGAAATGTATTTGACACTAATAGTTATTAGTTGTGTTGGGTTGTGGATTTTTGCTGTTAACAGACGGTGGTTCAATTGGCCCATCGCCAATTGCAAGTTAGCCACGCCCCTTAGAAAACCCTATGGAGTTTTGTACGTTAACTTTTGTTTGTATCAGATGTTGCGCGTTCCGCGTCCAGTTGTCTATCATGTAATTGGACAATATTTCACAAGCTGCGTTGATGCGATTCTACCGCGATAGGTTAATTTTCTTTCTCCTTACTTTACGTTGTGGGATGGTCTGTTTAGGCCTGCACTGATGGTATTACAACTGATGGTCCACGCCAGTTTGTGTTCTAGTTTAATACATTTTTGGGCTATGTTTGTGTCATCGTCGGAGCCTTTGCCATTACACACCATCCTCTGACGCTTGATGGAACATACCATTAGTTTAAGTTCTTTTATTAAAAAAAGAAAAAACAGTTACATGGGATCGCGGAGAAATTAGTTCTTTTCAGAGTATAATTTAAAAGCTGCGTATTTTTATACCTTTCCGAATCGCCGCCACTTGTCATTTGATGTGCGATAATTTAAACACAGTACATGCATACGCATTTTCCAAGCAAGCGTGAAGTATGGCTTCATTATGATAATTATATCACCTTTAAATTCCACATGACTCAGTGCAGGCTCAGTCTGTTTGTGCTGAAAAACATTTACTGTAGGGCATGCATGAAAATGATTAATAAAAGGACGGTTGAGGGCGCTACGAACAATTAATGAACTGCAGAAAACGTGACACAGCAGACTGTTAACCCGTTGGGTGTAATGCCAACGAAATGACTTGTACAATAGGTGGCGCTTTGCTACGAGCAATATCTCTAGTCTGTTGTACCGTGAGGGTAGAATTATCACGTGGGCGTATTGATTGCGGCATCTATAATTTTTCCCCCGGAATATTGGATTGCATGTATTTTGTACAGGCTATGTGGTATTCTGCTAACGGATTTTGTCATGGAAACCGTACAGAACTCCTCATTATGGTTACCTTTTGTTGAACATGTCCTCCTTAAAGATCAAACCGATATCCATGCTTGAATGTATTCATGAGCTTCGGCATCAATGTTGAACCGTTCAGCAAATTCGCTCGTTCATTATTGCTATATAAGCGGATGCAGGAATAATGAAAGACGTCTATAAATCTTTTTTTTTGTAATTCAGAGAACATATAAAACAAGAAAACTTTAAATGTGGTCTTTAGAGCGACAGCCCATCCCACCTTTTTCGGTTGTGTGACTTAGATCCGCAACGTGTATACTATCAGGATTAATTTGAAGATTATGTCATATAGATCCAAGATTTTGTTTTTCAGCTTTGTTGAAATGCTTTGTACTCTTTTGTCTCCAAGGCTTAAAAGTGTTTCTGTACGGAGAAGTGTGTATACAAGTGTGTATACATTTTGCATTGAGCACAATGGCTTCTTAACATATATTTTCCTATTTCTTAAAAAAAAAAGGCTCCTTAACACCACGTATGGCAACTTTGAGGTATACATTCAGAGAAACAGAGGGCTCTTTTGTGTTTGTAATTCAACGTGTACTTATATTATACACACATCCAAATAAGCAATGCAGATTGTCATGTACATGATATTACTACAAATTTGTTTAACAAATTAATAAAACGTTTAAGTCTAGGCTGGATACAACATCACACTTGCATTTCAGTGACAAGATCGGGGACTACTTTAATGGACGTGCTATCAGCTGAGAACAGAGATGTTCCAAGAACAAAAATATTTGCTTAAAAGTTTCATAGTATGTACATTGCTTGTTACCGATTCTCTGCTTAACACATGAGTTTACCGAGCATTACTTGCAGCGTATTTTATGAAATTGTACCAAACTGGTCATTGACCTATTTTCAGCGCTTGGTGTTACAATTGCTATATTAACTCCTACATTCTCATTATTTTTCCGCACAGTTTACAAACTCCTACAAAATGCACGGTCAGCTTTTGTAAATGTAACACACTTTGAAAAACGTCAAAATCGTTCAACTGTCGAGTGACATAAACGAGGGAAATGCACTACCCGGGAGGCATGGCAGTAATTATAAACTTCCATGAACTGATAACTTGGTAAACGATTGCTCGCTCAACTTGTCTGGACGTAAATCGTGAATGTTAATGATTGTGCCACAAATGTTAAAATTAGTGTCTGCCTTGCGAACTGTGTTGATAATTCTAAAGAATTTCAATAGAAACTAGAGGCCTGTGTGTCTGTCTGATGACAGCTCTTTTCCGCGGAGTTTCAATGAGCTTATGGTTATACTTCGAAAACAGTAACACGTGCATTTATGTAAAAAAAAAATTGCAAAGGCGTATTGGAAAGAATTGTGTTGTTTGTTCCATGTGAAAATCCATTACAAATCACATGATGACGTCATTGTGTGCACGTTAGACTATTTACAAGTTGTTGTTTTACCACGATAAGGGCAGTATACTATGATGCTGCGGTTCCCTTTAAGGCATACGTAACGCTATTTGTACAATTTTGTAAATATGTGAGCATAGAAAAGTACCAAATCCTTTGATTTTAGCTTTATAAGTGCTACCCAACCATTAAATCCTGTAACACTTACGCCCCTCTAACCCCCCCCCCAAAAAAAACCCACCAAAAGTAGGTCTATGGATTAATTACATGCTGTGGTCTTCGTTCTCTGGGCATTCCTGGTTAGTAGGGGTGCTAATGGCGTATACTGCTGCCCTGGCTCTCGGACTTGGATCACTTTGGGGTATTGTTCGACATCTTCGCCGACACATCAGGTGCCCGATGACCTCTTTGAAGTCTGGGTGCGAGGTTGCGTAAATGACGGGGTTGACGCTGCTGTTGCAGTACACCATGGCGACAGCCCAAGGCGCGAATTTGTAGATCCACTCGGCATCCGTTATTGTTAGGGCAACGAAACATGGCGTAAAGCAAAGAATGAACGCCAGGACGACGTACACCAAGTTCTTGGTGACGTCAAGTTGCCTTTTAGAGATCCTCATCCTCGTCGCTAGGTTTCCTCGTGTCGCCTCCATCGTCTCGTGTGACGTCTTACGGACGTAAAAGAAAATGGAAATGTAACTGATGGTGATCGTTATCAGCTGTGTTGGGTAGTAGATTCCTGCAATAAGCATACGGTAAGTATTAGTGTACGGATTTAATCTTACCCAGGAACATAGTTTGTACAGCTTTTCGTAGCCAAGTTCACCAAAGTCCGTTAAAACCGGCGTCAGGGCACAGCCGAGCGGTATAGCCCAGGAGAAGATGACCATCAGAGCGAGTTTACGGGCGGTGTAGATGCGACGGGTGGTGAAGCGAGACTTGGTGATGCCCACCCAACGGTTGACGGCGATCAGTGCTAGGTTGTTCAGGCTGCATCCGGTTGTGAAGACAGATATGAAGGAAGCAGCAGTGCAAACCCATCTCGCCCCAGATATTGGCCAGTCATCTCCTCCCAGGATCGCCACAGCCTGCCAGGGCAGGAAGAAGCAATTCAGTACGTCAGCGACGGCCAAATTGACCACAAAGACGTTGGTGGTCGTCCGGAGTTTCTTGGATAAAGCAACAGCGATGATGACTAAGCTGTTACCAACTGTGCCAAGAGTGACAACAGTGATGACAATTGCTGCAAAAATCTGTCTTTCGTAGAAAAGTTCAAAGACAAGAATTTTTGGTTCATTTTCTACCACTGGACTTGACGTTGTATTATTCATTTTAGTGTGACAGTTATCATAATGTCAAAAAGAATCCTTCTGAATAGACATTGGGTTGCAAGTTCAATAGAGTTGTCGTTATGGCACCATTCTCTGTCTTCGGTATCAATAACCAGCAGCGTGCAGTTCTGTGTACTTGTACCGTATAGCGCAGTTTTCTCACATCACGATTCAAAAGCAATTATGGTAATGATGGTCATAATGGTATGACTTCAAACCGGGTCCAAATGAACATGATTCATACGCACTTTGTTGATGTGCGCCCTATATAGCATTAATACCGTGAACTGTCAACTTAAATGTATTACAATTATTATAAAACATATACGGTTAATTTTATCTTAATAACTGGTTGACAAAATATGTGAATGACCAATAGAATTTTTCATGAGGGACAATAATGGTCGTTTTGACTGATTTCAATTGAAAGTTGGCAATTGAAAAGTTGCGTGAAGCCAAGAATGAACGCCAATACGACGTACATCAATTTCTTGGTGACGTCAGGTTGTCTCTTTCGTGTAACCGTTGATGTGTTTCCTTGTGTAGCGGCCATCGTCGTTTGTGACGTCTTATGGACGTAGCAGAAAATGGAAATTTATTTGATACTAATAGTTATTAGT